ATATATATATATATATATATATATCGGTAGATAGGAAGAGCGGTAGATAGATAGATAGATAGATAGATAGATAGATAGATAGATAGATAAAAAGCATTAAAAAGAAACGTGAAAAGTGTAATGAAATAAAATGCGAGTCTATGACGGGAAACAGAATAAAGTCAGTCCAATAAAGAAGTGAATTGTAATGGGAAAAAAAGACGAATATTTAATAAAGAATAGTTCACAAGGTCATGGAAATTTCTTCAAGCTCTGTTAAGATTCCTAAGATAAAGGACTTTTTCCCATCCAGCCTTATCGGAAAGACAAGAAGACTTGAAAAATGAGAAGAGAATGATAAAAAATTATAGCTCGCCGTCTTTCTATATATAAAAAATAACTCTCTCCACTCTCTCTCTCTCTCTCTTTCTCTCTCCATCTTTCTCACCCACACTCATGCATACATGTATAAGCCAACACGGACAGTCTGACACATACATATGATCACGCATATACACAGAGATGCACGCATATACACAGAGATGCACGCATATACACACGCACACAACATTTCATACAAACACATACAGTCTCCAACATAGATGCTGTCAGACACTTGTGATCACACACACACACACAGACACAGACACAGACATACACACACACAGACATAGATGCACAAGATCTCAAACATACACATGATCCCCCCATACACATTCACATGGTCTCACAAATACATAGACGATTACACAGTTGCACACACATATTGACTCTCGCACATAACACCACATACGCGCGTATACATACACACGCACACTTAAACACGCACATAAATACACATTCATCCTTTCACGCAAACACACACAGACTCTCTCTTACACACGCACTCTAAAACATATACAGATACACACACACACACACACGCCTTATCTATAAACATGGTTCCGCATATAAACGCATAGAGACACACCATATTACGGTTACATATGGTTTCATGCACACACACATAGACACACAAAAATGCATGATCTCTCTCACACACAATAATACACACAGAGTGACATGTACACATATACACACACACACAAACATAACATTTCACACAAACGCATAATGTATTTCATGCAAGCGCACTTAATCACACATACGGTTTATCATAAACACATACACACACGATTTCACAGATACATATGATCATACCCGTACACAAACACGATTTCACTCACGCGGTTACACACAAATACGCACGCACACATACGATCTTTCATGCCCAACACATCACACATACATTCCATCTAAAGTTAAGCAAATCACTTAAACTTTATAACTCGAATGTGCTTTCAAAAATTTTGTCAGATTAATTTTAAACGATTAATTTCGACGTTAAAAAAGATTGAGTTAAATTTTTCGATAGTTTCAACATGTTCTATTAAGGTTATTGGATTTATTATAAAACCTGCAGATTGACGTTATTATGCAAAACCAGAAAAAAAACTTTTTATTTCCATAACAATTTAATAAAATCATCAACAACTGATCAATACCTATAATAGAACATATAACAAACATATATTAGGTCAAATTCTGATAGGAAAGGATCGAGAAAACCGTCTGACAAAATTCAAAGAAACTCCTGAATAAGGTGAATCATCCTGTTGAACCAAGGACAATCTGGTTCTTCTTTGATGAAAATAATTTTCGTCAGGACCTGCTGGCCGATACCCACAACAACAGATGTTTTACCTACAATCAATATGATGTTCCGCGTGCCATGAATTTTTTCCTAAACTGTGATGGTTTTGTCGTGTGTCCCCAGTTGGGATGATGTCATACTACCTCACATCTTTGAACAAGATCTCAAACTCAATTCGGATGGTTATGTGGAGTTGTTCAACACAGTGTCAAACTTTGTTTGGATAGGGTGACTGCTAGTAGACTACATGAGTAGCAGCAAGATCCAGTTGCCTATCACAGCCACAGGAAGAGTTTAAGTGGTTGTCAGATAATTTTTATTACTTCACAAGTCCCCAACGTCTGGCCCCTTAAGTCCCTGATTGTAATTCCATGAATTATTATGTATGAGACGAAATTGAGAAAGACACCAACTACCATGTCGTGTAGAGACACCAAGAAAGTCACAGGGTCCAACTTCCGGAGTCGAATCAAAACCGTGATAGATGGTGAGAGTACCTTTTTTGAGTGAATTGTTTTTGATTGGTATAACCTGTATTTCACTTTTTTATTTTTAGAATAAATTGATTCTTGGCTTAGTTATTCCCATTCTTTATCATTTAAAACCTGTCAAATTTAACCCGAACACCCTATATTTGTATATATTTATATATATATTTTAGGTCGTTTGGAAAATAATGTTATATTTTAGAATAAACCTTTTGTTTTCTAATATTTCATTATAATAGTTGCATAAAAATACATTAATCAATACTAATGATTAAAATGCCCTCTTTATTAATTTTATAACAATCTCAATTTAACTTAAAACATTATATAACACCCATCTTGAACAAAGAAATGAAGAGATGTGTTGACTTTTATTTGCATTAGATTCAATTTGGTCATAATGCTTCTGGGACTGCTGTCAGCATTAACAGAGCATGGAGTGAAGGATTCATTTGTGATCGAACAATACGATACTGGTTTCTGAAGTTCCATTGTATGGATACAAGTTTTGAAGATCAAGGTGTTGGAGGACGTCCACCTGCAATTGACAATCAACATCTGAAAACATTAGTCGAACAAAACCTGTGTCAAAGACACAGAAAAATGTCTCAGATAATGGGTGTCATTAATATCAGACCATCTGAAGAAAATTGGCAAGGTGAAAAACACAATAAATGGTTCCACATGAACTCATTGAAAGTCAAAGAATTAAATGTTTTGAGGTGTATTCAATGTCGCATATGCAAAATTCAAATGATCCATTCCTTGATCGAATAGTGACTTGAGATGAGAAATGGATCCTCTATGACCATCGTAAAAGATCGACTTAATGGTTTGATTCTGACAACGTAGCCAAGAAATTTTCAAAATCGAAAATGCAGCAACAAACGATTATAGAGTGTTTGATGATTTGCCATTGGCTTTATTTCATTTCTGGAATCTCACCAGAGCTTCACTGTCGAAATTAATGCCAGCGACTCGAAGAAATGCACATTCAGTTAAGCAAAATCGGCCGGCACTGGTTACTCGACGAGGTCAAATTTTGCTTCATGACAATGTTCAACCACATGCTGACAGAATGAAGCTTCAGAAGCTAACCTACTGGGGATACGAAACTTTGACATAACCACCTTATTCTCCTGATCTTTCACTCACTGACTATCACTGTTCCAGGATTATTGACAATGTTTTAAGTCGTTGCAAAGAAGATGCAGAAACTGCATTCACATGTTTCTTGGTGAATTCATTAAGAATTTTATCACAAGGACACATATAAAATTGCAAATGCAGAAATGTATCGATGTTCAGAGTTCCTAACTTGACTAATTTAAAAACTGTTTAAAAGAATTAATTCAGGAATAAGAGACATTAGTTTTGTAAGCCCCTAACATTCATTCGCTAATGTCCACGTTGATTGATGTAATCGAATGACTTCACCCAATGAGTTGTGAGTTCAATACCTGGCCACAGCAGAAAACTTGGATTTTCTAAAGGAAATTATGTGAAACTAGCATATTCGGAAAAGAAATGGAATGAGAACAATCTACCTTAGTGGACTAAATAATGGATTCCGTTCGAAATTCCAACAAATATCACCTGAAAAAGTCCGAAGCGTACAATGGCCGAAACGTCATGAATATAACAATAAAGATGAAGAAAACAGCCTGAACAATGTAAATAGTGTAAATAGTTAAAATACCTCATCTCAGAAATATAAACACATGTTCAGTAATAAATAAATTTTGATTTTAAAATCGGACATTGTTTTATGAACAACCTTATACTTTTAAAATATCCATTTTTAAAGACATAAAATTGTTGATAAAATTTTAGAGTTGTGGCTATTTTACAAGTATATGAAAGCTACTGAGTTTTAAATTGGTTCAGTTATATTAATACAATGTCCAGAAGATAGAAAATCTTCTGGTCGAAATCACGTACGATCTTTGGGAAAGGTACAACAGGATCATTCATAAAGATTGTACGCAGTTTCCAAATAATGAAAGGATGAAAACTCTCCATATTAACATTTTTAATTAAAAAAAAGGGGCCCACACACAAACACATACATATATGCACAAATACGCAACTCTCAGGGCTTATGGCCGTGTCACATTAAACACTGGTTCCTGTACAGTCACCGGAGATAAGCTACGTCGTGCCTGATAAGTACGTAGACGGGAGGACGCTTTTGAATACCAGAGGCTGTAAACTTGGATTTACGCGTGGTGTATTGGATAATGGAATTTCTAATTAGAGAGGAGTTCTAATTCCACATGCGTTCTTTATATTGACTTACGAATGAATACTCATGGGGAAGGCTGAATCCACCTCTTCTTCCCCCAGCTATGCATTAATTAGTAAGATTTGTATCTCTAAATCATTATTATGTCGAATCTAAAAATCTTCTATGACTTTAAATAATATCAAATGGTTCAATAAATCGTAGAAAACGAATCAAAACTCCTCCCAAATATATCCCAGAATATTAACAGACACACGCACAAGCCTAGATAAGCGCTTACTGACACACGGATAAGCATTTGTAAAAAATACATGTACACAGAAAAAAAAACATATATATATATATATATATCATCAGTAGCACGACTCAGTGCATAACACAATTTACAGGCATGAAACTTAGAGTCGTATTACTGATGAGGAGAAATTCATTAATTTATAACTGTTATATTACATAGAGTACTATTTTATTAACATAATGACTCAATGTGCAATGTTTATATATATATATATATATATATATATATATATATATATATGTGTGTGTGTGTGTGTGCACGCACGTATGTGTGAGTATGTATGTATGTTAGAATCTTTTACCATGGCATTACCGTGTTTGAAAGAAGAAATAGGCAATGAGTACCTGTCAGCTGTCTCCTTTCCGCCTCAATCTGCGTCAGTTGGATAGACAGAACCATAGCCGTTCTGTCTCTCAGATCTGAGTTAGAGAAATCAACATTAGATCTGGAGAAAATACTTTATCTTGCAGAACGTGAAAAATACCACGTGATAGCATGGCCTCACTTTCATCTTGATAAAATGGCTGAGTGAGTGTCCCTTTGTACATCGTTAGTGGCGAGCTTTTGAAAGAGAAAAGCTGGAAGATATCGTTTGCCCGGACGTGATCATTCGTCAACATTAAGTTTGGAGAAGAGGAAAACAGCAAAGAAAAAGATGGTATAAAAGAAAAGACAACTCGAAATTTAGAAAGAAAGAAAGAAAGAAAGAAAGAAAGAAAGAAAGAAAGAAAGAAAGCAGTTTGGAAGGAATGTACGAAACGGAAAAGAAAGACAGAACGTTGGAAAGAAGATTTGTAAATAAAAATTAAAATAAAGAGAGTGAAGAAATGCTTGATTGAACAAATCAAACCATTTGGAAAGAAATTAAAAATGATTTAAGAAATTTGCGTAAAAACTAAAAAGAAACAAAAATTGCATGAATGAAAATTTGATTTGAAGAAAACTATGAAAATATTTTGTAGCTTGGACAGCAATTTGGTTAAGGCAGAATGAAGGAATGGGGAGGAAGAAAGAGGGGAAGAAAAACAAACAAAAAAGAGGAGATGAAAGAAAGAAATGAAGATGGAAGAATGAAAGAAAGAAAGAAAGAAAGAAAGAAAGCGCGTAAGAAAAGAAAGAAAGACAGAGGGAAGGAAAAGAAAGAAAGAAAAAATAGGGAAGAAAAGCAAGAAAAAGGAAAGAAAGTGGATAAGAGAAGAAAGGGATAAAGAAAGAGGGGATGAAAAGAAACAAAGAAATAGTGAAAGCGAAGAAAGATAGTGGGTAAGAAAAGAATGAAAGAAGGTAAGAAAAGAAAAAAGAAAGACGAAAGGGAAGATAAAAATAAATAAAGTTGAAAAAAGAAGAAGTAATGGAATAATGAAAGAAGAAAACAGTAGACTAAAAAGAAAGAAAGAAATTGACGGAAAGTAAAAAATGAAAGAGAAATATCAATAGTCACGAAAGTAAATTAAGATTCAGTAGAATTGTAAAAGGCGAAAAACAAGACACCATTAACAGAAAAGAGTAAGTTTTCAGGTTGTGATGGGGCCAAGGAAAAATTTAAAATTTTCCTCAATATATTGAGGGAAAAGAAAATAAGTGAAATGATTGATTATAGGGCGAAAGTTTTTCAGGACATATAAAACACAAAATGAAATAAGATTTAACAACATTTTCAGAATAAAAGTTAGCTTATAGGCAAGTAAAAAGGAGACGAACGTCAAACGAGAAAAGAAAGGATGACAATTAGAAAAAAGAAAAAAGAAATAAATGAAGATATAATAATAGAATAAAAGAAAGTAAAAAGATAAAAAAATAAAAATAATAAGTCCAAAGGACAGAACAAAAAAGAAGAGGGAGCAAAAGTTTGATAGAAATTTTGATGGAGGAATAAGAAAAAGAAAACGTGTGAAAAAGAGGAAAGGAAAAGTAAAGGAGAGAAATAAATGGAATCTGACTAATATATCGTATAAGCAAGAAAATAGAGAGAAGACGACAAGATGAATCAAAGAATGTACGACAAAATAAGGGAATGAAAACAAAAATAAAATAGAGAAAATATAGAACGAGGGAAAGATAGGAAGAAAGAAAACATGAATGAATTAACGTGTCCGAGGACATACAAGCAAGAAGGAAAAGTGTCGGTAAAAAAAGACAAGGCAAGTAAACAAGAAAGATAAAGAAAAGAAAAAGAATAAAAGATATGAAAGGTAAAAAAGGTAAATGCCGGAGAAAATCAATAAGAAAACAAGAAAGAAAGAGGAGAAAAAAGTCAGAAAGAAAAAAGAAAGAAAAAAAAATGGTTTAGCAAAATGGAGGAGGAGAGAAAGAAAATGAAAAAAGCAAGAAGGAAAATACAGGGAAAGATAGAAAAAAGGAAAAATAACATTGAAAGTAAGAATAAAAGGGATAATAAAATGACTAAAAAAGTAAAAGAAGAATGAATGAAGGAATATTGAGAAAAGTGTCTATGAAGAAAGAAACAGAAAGAAAGAAAGAAAGAAAAAGAAAGAAGGGAAAGAGACAAATGATTAGGCTAGAAAGAATAGATGAAAGTATGCGGAAACAAAAGGAAGGAAGGAAGAAAGTATGAATGAAAGAGATGAAAAGCATGAAAGTAAGAAAGAAACGAGTTGTTATAAAAGGTACCAGGAATGTAAACAAGAAACGTACAGAAAAGAAACACAGACAGAATAAAAGAGATGAAAGGAAAAAAGTGCAAACGATAAGGACAAAACATTAATATGAATATAAAAGTAAAAGAAAGAAAGGAAATATTTCAGTGAAAGAAAGAAAACGGGGAAGGCAATAACGAAAATAATGAGTAAGAGAGAAAAAGAAAATGATAGAGAAAAGTAAATTTGAAAAAAAGACAGAAAGAAACATAATGAAAGAAAGCACTAAAAAGAAACCGAGAAGAAAGAAAGAAAGAAAGAAATAAGGAAGAAATTAGTAGAGAAACAATTAAGATTGAAAGAAGACATGAATGAAAGAATTGAAAGTGACGAAACAAATGCAAGCCAGCAAGAAAAGTGTTGTTAAAAAGAGACAAGGAATGTAACCATAACAAAAAAGAAAGAAAGAAAATTTACAAAGAAAGAATAACAATACAGTAATACAAAAGAAAGAAAACCAAAAAAAGACGGAAATGGTCTGATGGGAAGGAAAGAAAGAAACACAAAAGAAGGAAAAGAACAAAGAAAGAAAGAAAACCAAAAAAAAAGACAGTAATTATTTGAATGAAGAGAAAGAAAGAAAATAAAAAAACAACAACCAAAAAGATAAAGAAATGGTTCAGTGGGAATAATTGTTGAACGTGTATTTCCCTTTTAAGACAAGATAAAAGACCATTTGCCATCGGATGCCATTTTCCCATTAAAGAGATCTTACTCGTAAATCCCATTGCTCATCAGAACTGAGATACGTCATTTGCTTTCTTGTCATCGCCTTCTGATCTCTTTGCAGCGATCTACTCTTCTCTATAGCCATGGCTTTACTCTGTCCTGAATTGCCGCTTACGTACGGAACTTTTATCTACCTGCTCCTCCAACACTTCCGCAAAATCGTTACTGACTAGAAAAAGAACAAATGCTTTAACGAAATGCCCAGATAATACTGAGAGCAAATATTCTTCTATTTCTTAAGTGCGTCTTTTTCTTTTTTTTATTGCCACCCTTCTTAATTTCTTTCTTTGATCTTAGCGTTATTTTGATTGTTTCTTTCTTTCTTCTATTTCTTGGGTGTGTCTTTTTACTTTTCTTTTTTAGTATCCATCTTCTTTCTTTTTTCTAGTTAACCTAGTTTGGCTCGTTTCTTTCTCCTCTTTCTTGATAGCATCTTTTTTTCATTTAATATTTATTATTCGTCTTCTTTTTTTTATTTGATCTTTATTCCTTTTTCTATTTAACCCTTGTTTTGTTCGTTTCTTTCTCTCATTCTTTCTTTTTTCTTTTATTTCAATTTCACGTTTTTTTCTTAATTACATTATTTCTTTCATACATATCTTCCTTTTAGTTTTTCTTTTCCACAGTCATTTCTTTTATTAATTTCACGCTTCATTCTTTCTTTTTTTCTTTCTTTCTACTGTATTCTTTTATTTATTTTATATCACAATTTCTTACGTCCTTTATTCGTTTCTTTTATTTTTAATTTCATATTTTCACTTTCTTTTTAGTTTTGTTTTCTATTTCTTTTTTTCTCTCTCTCTTTCTTTATCTCCTTCTTTGTTTCTTCTTTATTGATTACTTAATTTCTTGTGTATTACTTTATATCACTATTTACAATATTCGGACTATTGCCCTCATCTTTGTCACCATATTTATTACAACGTTTCGGCCGGTGGTTAGAATGTTGAGCTGAACCCTTTATTCTGCTTACTGACTGTTTTAGTTCCATGTGCCATGTCTAATGGATGTCAGTTATCAGTTATCTCCTGTTAATTCCCCTCTCCAAGTTCTCCACCAGGTATTGAACTCACACGCTTGGGGTCCTGTCACTGGATCTAACTAACGCCTATATCTACTGTGCCATGTGTACTTGAGGACATCTGTGTATGAATTTCTGGTTATTACAAACCTAATGTCTTCAGCAACCATTTTTTACCAGTGCTCATATTGCAATTTTTACTGTTATCATTTCATGTGTGTATGCTCTCCTGTGCAGCTGCAGAAAGAAATATAAAGGGGAGACAGGCCACCTCTTTAAGGTAAATCTGTAACAAGAGGAGAAGTGGAAAAATCAGGCGTGGCTAAACATATATGGAGAGAAAAGGGAGATCACCGCCTTCTGTGGGATAAGGTTATATCATAGACAAAGAACATAACTGGAAAATACGTAAACTTAAGCAATCAGCACATATGTTAGGCCACAAAAGTCACCTGAACCGACCAAGCATAGAAATGAATACAATACGGGAACAAGTAATAAGGAGTGCCAGAGAAAAGTGATATTAACAATAAAAATTGCAATATGAGTTCTGGTAAGAACATGAAATGATAACAGCAAAAATTGCAATATGAGCGCTGGTAAAAAACGGTTTCTGAAGACATTAGGTTTATAATACACAGGAAATCATACACAGATGAACACAAGGACACATGGCACAGCGGATAAAGGCGTTAGTTAGATCCAGTAACAGGACCCAAAGCGTGTGAGTTCAATACCTGGTTAAGGCGGTGGAGAACTTGGAGAGGAGATACCTGATAACTGACATCCATTAGACATGGCACATGGAACTAGAAGAGTCTACCCCAGTGAGCGAAGTAAAGGGTTCAGTTCGACATTCCAACCACCTGAAGAAGGCCGGAGTGTACAACGGCAGAAACGTTGTAATAAATATGTCGACAAAGATGAGAACAATAGTCCAAATATTGTATATAGAGTACATAATACCTCATCTCAGAAATATAGACAGATATTTTATATCATTTTTCCTGTTTTTCTCCTTCCTCAATTTCATTCTTCATTCTATATTTTTATTCATGTTTTCTCTTGTTTTATTCCATATTTTTTCTATTATTTTACAATTGATTTATTTTTTAACTTTTTATACGCCTTCTTCCTTTCATTCATTCTTTCTTTTTTCTTTCTCTCTTTCTACCGTTTAATTCATCAATTATTTTCCTATCCCCTTTCCTCCCTATTTTTTCACTTCATATTTTTTTAAGATTCACTTGCTTTCTTTACTTTACGGTTTCAGTTACTTTTCCCGCTTTCATAGTTTATTTTCATTCCCTTTCTTCCTCATTCACTTAATTAATTTTTATCCATTAAAAACATTTCATCCTCTCTTTTAATTTCCTCTTCCACATTTTGTCTACATTTCCCTCTTTCTTTTTCTTTCTTTCTTAACCTCTTTCATTCTTTCTTTCTTTCTTTCTTTCTTTCTACTAATCTCCTCTCATTTTTAAAAACATTAACGATCAGTGTATCGCTTGTATTATTCGCTGCAAAATTATTAAAATTTCCTCTGCAGGCTTTTAATCAGCCATTGTTTAATGTGTCATTGACATGGCCTGGTCCTGCAACCTTCCACTTTGTCACCTCTTTTGGAAATTCTAGACAAAAGGCCGAATTCTTCGAAACCCGTACCTCTTTTGTCTTCTTTATCTTGGTTTTCCATTCCAAGTGCCACCACTTCTCACGGCTTCTTCAGTATCAAGTTGTCGAATTGCCTAACAAACCATGGCTTTAAGGAATTGATAAATCTTTCTCGTTTTTATTGCGTTTTAATTCATTTTGAAAGCAAATCGAGACGAGACGATAACAACAACAGAAGCACAAGTAGGAAAATGTAAAATTAAATGAAACAAAAGTCGCTGGATATTTTTATAAAAGAGGCATCGGAAGTGGGGAAAGAATTTAATGTATTTGAGAATAATTTAAAAAGGGGGGAGAAGAGACAAAACTGTTGAAGAAAGAAAGGAAGAAAGAAAGAAAGAAAGAAAGAAAGAAAGAAAGAAAGAAAGAAAGAAAGAAAAGTGAATGCCAGAGCCTATTTTTTAACACAAGATTACAAATATAGGGTCCACTGTGTGGACCAAAATTACCAAAGCCGAAGAATAAATCGATAGACTACTTATGAAGATGAGCGAGTATGAATATATATATATATATATATATATATATATATATATATATATATATTGTATATATTGCACTGGCCTACTTCCAGCAAAGGGAAAAATGTAAGAATATTCAACGAAAAATACTTAAAAAGTTTCTGTTGAAATATGCATACATATATATATATATATATATATATATATATATATATATATATATATATATATATATATATATATATATATATATATGTATGTATGTATGTATATATATATTGTGTTCCAAAGAGAGAAAAATGTATATTTTAAAGACAAAACGTTTTTGGTTATAAGGTGGATTATTTTTTATATATTATACTTCATTTTCCATATATTTTGCTTCAAGGTTTCGGGTCTTGTGACTTTTATCAGGAGAAAAATGAATTTTTTCACATATTATTTAAAGAATTATTTTTTCCTTATGATGATAGTAATCCAAATTCTTCATTACTACAAGCAAAACGTTTGTGGTCACCATGAATTTCTTTAAAAAAATACAGTAAAATGAGCTATTTCGCTTTTTTTTAATTAACGATAAATATAAGTAACTACAATGTATTTGCTTTTATTTTTCAGTCATACTCCGGGCTAAAACTAGGATTTGTCTATTCACAATAAATTTTACTAAATTAGGAATATATTGTGTGACAAACATTATATTTTCTATAGACTATTAGTAGATTTTTGGAGTTTACAAAATTTTAAAAATAAGTTAAATGTTAATACAGATACTAAATTTGAACTTAGCACTGATTAATTTAAAAACAAAACGTATGTAGCTGTCTCTGTTTGAAGAAAAAAATCCTGCCATTAAGATAGTATTTTCATAGATTTTATTTATTTTTTTAATTTTGAAGTAATTTCCACAAAATAGCAAAATCAATGCAGCTAAGCAAAAAAAGGGAAACTGCTTCAGAGTTGACAGCTGAACTTAATTCATCTCGAAAGCATCAAGTGTCGCCCTAAACTGTGAAAATCGACTTTGATCAGTGGATCCGGGGTGGGGGGTATATCCATCAAGAAAACCCTATTACGGAAGGTGAGTAAACAGAAAAGAGTGTTATGTCTAAGAAAGTATAAGTACTAGAAACTGAGAGTGTGGTATAATATATTGTTGAGAGACATGTCCAAATTTGAACTTTTTTTTAGTAAGAAGAGAGCGTATGTGAAAAGAAAGCCAGAAGAGAGACTGAATGTTCAATGTGTGGTTCCAACAGTTAAGCATAGTGGTGACTCTGTATGATTTAGGGGTGCTTGGAAGTGAGAAGGCTGGGGATTTGTTTCAGATCGAGGAAATCATAAAAAAGGACAATATCATTTGATTTTTCACAGATATACTTTAAAATTTGGTTTATGCATAAATGGAAAAAATACCTGTCAACAAAACAATGATCTAAATCTTCTCTTCCACATTGAATCAGAATGGTATGACGTGGATAAGACAGTTCGAAGAGAATAACCAATAAGTGAGTGTGACCACTTTCAGTGTTTGAAGGTTTGGGAAGAATTGACATCTACAAAAATGAATCCAGTTTTCATGTTAATGTTTTAGTTTTGTAGAAATATGCGATTTGGCGCAAAACTAACACAAGTGTAGCTTATTCTAGGTTCAATTTCCTTAACTCCTATGCTAAACTTTTCATAACTGATCCATACACCGAAATATTTGAAGTATTCGATATCTACTAAATCCACACCCTGAATTTTTATGATGGATTTGGGGCAGTTTCCATCATTGCTTTCTTTACAATCTGAGATCATAGTTTCTGTTTTGGAAATTTTTTATCTTGAATCGTATTTCTTGGACAACTTAGTAGAGGATGATGATTTTTTTGGTTCAAGATCATTCTTATCCCAATTATCCGTATGTCGTTAGCATATCAACCTCCACTAATCATTACTACACTGACAGCAGGAGGAAAAAGCAGGCTCGCTGTCTTCTATTAGTAGATTCGTCTGGGATGTGATATGGAATGCTTAAATGAACAAAGTTCATAAAAATGATTGAGGTATGTGTAGGAAAAGACATATTGAGATGAATATATGTGATCGAAACAACAACTGTCGCATAAGACCGACATATTTTCATTTTTCTTTTCCTCATTTATTTATTTCATAATCAATGATTTATTGTTTCATCTATCTATCTATCTATCTATCTATCTATCTATCTATCTATTGTCTTCTTCGTCTCTATTTTTTTGTTTTCTTCTTATTATTCCTCATTTCGTTTCTTGTTTGGTAGCTTTCTGTTATCTTTCTTTCTTTCCATCTTTCTTTCTTTCTTTCTTTCCTTCTTTCTTTCTTTCTTTCTTTCTTTCTTGCTGAACTTAAGCGACGTCGAAATTGGTCAGTACCTCGATAGTTGGCTGCTTGAAAATAGCAGGTGCTTGCGTGTGAGGATGGTGTAATGGATAATGGTGCTGAATTGTTAATTGAAGAGCCGAGTTCCAATTCCCGTTGGGTTCGTTATATTCACTTTCGCGCAAATACCATTGGGAAATATATGGATCCACGTCTCTCACACCAGCTATATATTAATTAGTAAAATTTGTATTACTAAACCGTTATAATCTCAGAAAATTTTTACAATCAAAAAAATATTTTCTGACTTTACATTACCTGCATTAGAAAAATTTCCGTAGAAAATAAATCAAACAAGCAAAAAATCCTTCTCGCTATCCTTGGTCTCTTCCTCTTTTCACTTTTTCTTTCTATTTGTTTCTATAGTCTGTTTTTTTTTTTTTCAATTTCTTTAATCTCTTTGTCTCTTGCATAGTTTTAAGATAGGTATATTTTGAGGAAATAGAGGTCTTTGAAAATGAAAATAAATTTTATATTCACAAAAATTGTCGTACATTTGTATGAAAACGATTTCTTTCTTCAAGAAATACTATCGAACTCAATTAACGTCACGGGTAGAAATTATTCTTTTCTTCTTTTGGAGAATCTATGTTGCCAAAGTAAAGGCAGCAATTCACTTGGAACCGTTTGTTTTTTTTATTGTGCCTTGATTACCTTGAACAATATTTTCTTATAATGTTGACAAATTTTATATGAAAAAGAACTTCGAATTTTCAGAAAAACATTAATAGACAAGTCGATTCGTCGAATAAATAATTATTTAGGACGGCACTTGACGACCTGCTCTTAAAAATTATATAAGAAATAAAATTATAGTAAATAAAATAAAGGAAGGAAGAATGGAAGGAAAATGAAAGAAAGAAGAAAGAAATATATAAAGAAAGAACAATAAAAGAAAGAAATATTTTTCTCGTCGTGACTAATAAAAAATGCAGAATAATGAAAGGCAAAAATGAAAGAAAAAAAACAGAAAATTACAATCCTAAAAAAATGACACTTTTTTTTTCTGAAGATTGTAAAATTCGAATCACTTTTAAGATATCCGCCACTAGCTTAACCTTCACCCGAACGGCTCACCCAAAATTTGAGATTAATACCAATATTACTAATATGGTTAATACTATTAATAAATGAAATCTTCCTAGAAAGTTCCAGTGACCTTCCACTTAACCTCCGAAACCCAGTCCCTACAACAGCCATCCTTCTCCCCGTGTAGGTTGAGAATTTCTCTTGCCTGAATCCGGTTTATTTACCCCGCGACCCTTTCACTTCAGTCAGACAGCGAATCCGCGTCGTCCTTTTGTAGCAAGATTTGGAACCATTTTCTTGACTGCGAGCAAAATGGCGCGCACTTTGCATCTGGTCCTTCGCAAAGAATGTCTCCCAAGCTAACGCTTGTGCCCACCCCACGCCAATTCTAAGCCCCATTCCCACGACATCTTATAGCTCGTCTTTAGTTACGTCACGTCTCGTGCACCGCCTAGAAAGCGAGGAGAGAATATGAAAACTGAGGTGGTAGGAGACTGGACCCAGAGGTCGGGATTTGGGTGGGCAGGCAAAGGAGAACATTTAGATGGTTTGAGGCTTACTGGAAAAATGTTAACAAAGATGAAAAGAAGCGGTAAATGAAGAAAGAAGAAAAAATCGGGATATAGAATGAGAGATAGATAGAAAGAAGGGGAGACAGACAGACAGGCAGATAGATAGATAGATAGATAGATAGATAGATAGATAGATAGATAGATAGATGGGAAAGTGCGACAGAAAGAGAAAATAGAGAGAGAGAGAAATATAAAACCTTAGAAGGGCAGAGGAAAAGAAATATGGAAGAAGCCGATAAATATTAAAATAGAAAGATATGGGTGTTAAAAAAGCAAAAGTTGCAAAAACACGAAAAGAAATATAAAGAGAAGGAATATGGAAAAATAAGGATAGATAAGCGTTAGAGCGAGTAAGGAAAATATATACAGAGAATATAAAATGAAGAAAGAAAGAAAGAAAGAAAGAAAGAAAGAAAGAAAGAAAGAAAGAAAGATAAGGTGATATAGAAAATAGAAGCAGGAACAAAACAATTAAAGAGAGAGGAAATATATCAATGAGGAAGAGGAAAAGAATAAATTAATAAATATAAAAACGAAATAGAAATAGATTATGACAGCTACCTACCTACCGACCTACCTATCTATCTATCTATCTATCTATCTATCTATCTATCTAGATAGATAGATAGATAGATAGATGAAGAACCGATTCAGATAGATAAATAGATAGAATAATTTGAAAATGCTTAAATATGCAGATATACTGGGTGTATCAAAAAGGACAAACGTCCATATAAATATATCTGCAAATTCTTCATTTTTGAGTTAAGTTTAAAGAAAGTTTATGATAGATGGCGCTGTGTTTCTATGTTGCAATTCCCTGGAAGAGTGAGTACCACTTCATTGTTTATTTCTCGTCTTATTGATAAAGGACACAGGCGTTTCTGAAATACCGACTTTAAATCTTTGTCTTCGTGCTTCGGTTGACTAAAAATGCCTACAAATATATATTAAATATCATCTTATTGACAAAGATTTTATCATTTATTTCTCTTTTTATTCCTCAAATTTCATTAGCCGGCATATGTCTTGTGTGTATTTGTAAAGATATGGTTTAATATTTATCGGCACTGATATTAGAATCATGTTAGTAAAGGCATCAAATCAACTCTCCCTTCCTCCTTGTCCTATCTCCAGATACTTTAACGACAGCCTCTTAGTGTAACTACAACCAACAAGACGGGTGACAAAGTAAATAAGTAGTAGTGTCACAATACTATAATAATCTTACCAGCCTATGAAGCTGTTACTCGCATTGGCACTCTTGACGAAGTTCAATAACTTGAAAAACAAGAAAATGATTTTAATTTAATAAGATAAGAAATATTCAAATGTTATATGTCTTTCAGTTTTCTGGTATTATAGATAGAATACCTTGTACTGGCTTCATCTCGGTGATTGCATAGTATAATCGATACGATGTTTTCTTCCAATGACTAAGTTTATTGTTTTTTATTCTTACTTCTACTCGTTATGTTATTTAGTAGAATGAGTCGGTTATTACTCATTTCTGAGCACCCTCACCTGCTAGGGCAGGGTTAGCCAAACCCTATTATAGATGCCTGTTCAACCCAGAAATCACCATATATGGTTTATAATGTAACTACAATGATCAGAACTTTGGTACAGTTTCTGAAAAGAGCGCATAATCTGGTTATTTGATCAAGATCGGTACACACGACCCCTCGGTCAAAGTGGCTTGTGAATTCATGCTAGCACAACTATTTATTTTTTTCCGAATGGTTCTGTTTACCCAGTTTCAATAACAATGTTTGTGAATATCAGTATGTTTTCCCGGCCCTTTCCAACGGCGCCGCATGCTCGAATCACCTTCTCATGTCGATAATAACCCACTCCTTGATCAATCGGCCATGGTGAGATTGGAATTCGAATGTCGCAGTCAGAAATTGAAACGTTCTAGCCACGTACCCAATTGGCAGAGTGCCGGATGTATGAATGGCATTCAATAATCGGGTAGTATCTGATATTTGTACTTTACGACTCGTGTTTTTTTATTACTTTTTCGTTAACTTAATTCGAATTTTGCAGAGAGCAGCAGTTGATGATATTTTTGAATGAATAAGACTGAAGATTCTTGTAGAAATATTAGATCAAGTACACCTTTCATTTGTCGCAAATTTGAAAAATATTAATTCTATAATCTTATAGGAAAAAAGTCCACTGCCATTCCCTAGGTATACTTTCCGTTTTACGTTCATCGTTTTTGATATAGGTATCGTTTTTTTTTATCTCATAGACACGATATTTTCTCAAAGTGGACCCATTTACTTTCATTTCCTCAGCAGCATTAAATGCGTAATCCCGAGTTATTGCCTAAAGCAGAAAAATAAGTACATCACACTTCATATTGTAAATTTTCCCCCTTCTATATTTCTTTAATATTTTTCCTTCAATTTATTCCTGAATTTATTTTTTCTTTACTGACTGAAAGCACAGAGGTTGTTCTGAACAAACAGTAGGAATGACGCCAATGAAAAATGTTCAGGGCCTTTTCGGACGATTTCAACAAATTTCGTCACGATACACTCTGGATACGTTTCTTTCATTCCGCACATTTCCAACTGGCTACCAGAAGGAAATATTTCCAGCTGCATTTTCGAATCTGTATAAAGAAATGTGAATACAGAAAAAAAAAAAAAACACGAATGAGATCAACAATTATCAAGAAAAAGATGAGCCCCAAATGCAAATTACAAATCGGGGCTACTACTAAAATAAACAAGTACAAAAATTTAAATATCTGGGAAGTGTTCTAACAGAGGACGGAAAGTGCGACACTGAGATCCGAAAACATACTGGAATAATTAAAGATGCATTCCAAAAGCTAAGCAGAATAATAAGAGATTGAAAATTTTTGTTATAAACAAAGAAAAGGGTATTGGACTCTGATAACTGTCCTTCCGTATGGAATTGAATTCTGGAGAATCTCCTTAAAGATGAAGATGGGACTTGAAGCAATAGAACTATAGTTCTACTAAGGATACCATGCACCGAACGACGAGGTTTTAGTGAAAATGGAAGCAAAAAGAAACTTATACTTTGCACCAGGAAGAGGTAGTTGAAGTTTCTGGAGCACGTAATAAGGAAGTGGGGAACTTGGAAAATCTGATATTCACAGGAGAAATTGAGGAATAGTGGTACAAAGGAAAGCAGTGCGTAACTTACTTGATGGGTAAATGAATAGCGGAACAGGGTTTGGGAGAAATAACAAAAAGACAAAACATATTAAGATCTACAAGGGACAGGAAGATGTGGCGGGCCATGATCGTCTACTGCTGACGAGTCACGGCACATAAAAAAAGAGTAAGTAAATTTACATCTCTGACAAATAAAAAATTCTGTCCAAATCCCCTAAAGTTTATTTGATGCAACATAGAAATTTAAAAAAATGTTGTAATGCAATCAAGAGATAAAAATACAGAAACCTTTCTGCTTGTACTATTGTTTCAATCTATGGTTGATAGTTGCATTTCCGTATAGATAAGTAGAAAGTGACTTTGCCCAACTAAATCGTATTTTTTTTGTGCTTATCGATAACAGTAAAATAAATAACAAATTTAGAACAAGAAGAATCAGTTAAAAATGTGAAAATGGAAGATGAAACGTTTTGAAAGTGAAGATGAAATGATAGGTAGAAGCCTTGGGACCGAGATAAAAACCAATGGCGCTGGATTGTGTCGAGAACAAAGAAATAGATACATGAATGAATTTAAAAGTTCGACCATCGCTGGGAGAAGTGTGTGAAGAAAGAATCTAAGAAGGGAAGTCGGTGGTTTATAAAACATGGGATCCTTGAAAAGCAAATAAAGACGAGTGAAGAGAAATTGAAGAGAAAGTCGTAAAAGAAGAAACAGAAGAAAGGAGGGGGAAGTAGTGGCAGGAAGAAGATGAAAAAATAGAAAAATGAAGGAAAAGAAGAGAGTAGTTGGAAGATGAAGATTAAGAGAGAAAAGACGAAGAAAAAGTGGTAAAGAAAGAAGGCGGAAAAAGGAAAAGGGAATAAGGAAGTGAAAGGAGGAGAATTGAGAAGAAAAAGGGAAAATAAGAATTAGAAAAGAAGAGAAGAAGAAAAAACGAGAAAAATGAAGCGATAAAAAAGGAAGGAAAAAAAGAGAATGCGGGAGAAAAATGAATATAACGGCAAATAGAAGTGAAAACGGAAAAAATATGTAGTGGAAAAGAAAGAAAGAAAGAAAGAAAGAAAGAAAGAAAGAAAGAAAGAAAAGAAAGAAAAAAGAAAGAAATAGGAAGGAAGCAAGGAAGGAAAAGAAAAAGTGAAAGATAGAAACAAACAGAAAATAAATAAATAAATAAAGAACGGAAGAAAGAAAGAACCAAGACTTTCTATATTTCTGTGATGAGGTATTGTAATTATTTACATTGTTCGGACTATTATCCTCATTTTATTGCCAGATTCACGACGTTTGAGCCGCTGTATTGCCCCGCCTTCTTCGCAATGAGTCACCCCGAAGAAGCATAGCACGTAAATCTACCCCGGTGGATGAAATAAAGGGTTCAGTTCAAAATTCCAATCAGCTGAAGAATAAAGATGAGGACAACAGTCTGAACAATGTAAATAATGTAGAAAATATGAAAAAAAATGAAAGAAACAAACAAGGAGAAAATTAATAAAGAAAGAAAAAAGAAAGGAAGGAAAATTAAAAGGAAGAAACAAACGGAAAATAAAGAAAGAAGGAAGGAAAGAAAGAACAGAAGAAAGAACAGAAGAAAGAAAGAAAGAAAGAAAGAAAGAAAGAAAGAAAGAAATAAAGAAAGAAAGAAAAAAAGAACGAATAAGAATGGAAAAAAGGAAGAAAACAAATTTCTCCATAAAATAAAGAACAGAAGGGACAGAAAAGACAAAAAAAAAAAAAAAAAAAAACATGGACGAGACGCGGCGACTGAACGTCTTTCAATACAACCTACTTCCTAAAATCTAGAAAAAAATTTTTTGGATTTTTGAAATTGTTTATTGCTCGGTCCGAAACTTTTTCAGCTCTACACATGGAAAAAAAGAAATAAAATTGATTAAGAAGAAGGAAAAATAAAATGAATAAGACTAAAGAATAAAGAAATGAATTAAGAAGAAAAATTGGTGAAGAAAATGTAAAAAGAAACAGACAGACAGAAGTAGAAAAGAAAGATAAAACAAGAGTAAAAAGGAAAATAAAAAAGAATATAAAAGAATAAGAAAAAGGAAAGAAAGAAAGACACTTGAAGAAGGAAAATGAAAACAAAAGGAAGACGATGCTATTCAAACAACGGTGATTACTACTTTTATCCATATTAATTACTCACTACTTCCTTACAAATTATTATGTAGTTACAGTTCATCAGCAAAATTAATGACACGAAAAATTAAAGTAGACAATACCATAGACGAATCATGTGAACGATGATGAAGTCTTAAGGAAAGACTCTTATTTAAAATCTGAAAGAGACATTTAAAGTTTCTACGATACATGATGATGAAAGAGGGCTTAGAGAATTTGACACCCACAGGACATACTGACGGTAAGAGGAACAAAAGAAAAAACGCCTAAAGAGCTTGTGTATTGGGAAGACAGTTATTATGTCCAATCTTTAAACTGAAGAATTGACATTTGAACTGTACACTAAACAAAATAATTATTTGTACAATTTATTATTCCTAAATGCAGAATAAAACGAGTTTTTTGTGGGCTGTGACGAATGAAGCCCACTATATATTTTTGCTTCTGACCTAGCACCTCGGTGTTAGTCACTTCCCTATCGCCGAAACATAGCTTCTCTTTGACATTTCTATAAATATTTTTCATGATAATTATTCTGATGAATTTTACTTTGTAGTACTTTAAGATCTCATCATTTTACAGCTGTAATGGATATATGCAACTGCAAGTTCGGTTCTATGCTAACAGTTTTTTTTTCGCACATCTCGCTTGTAGAATTCTTTTCCGGCTTCTTGCTTCCAGTCAACTTTGATTATCAAAAATTAATTCAATATCAATCTTTATCTCTTAATTCCTGTTAGTTTATTGTTGTTGTTCACTCTCTTTAATCTTTTAATTCCTCCCACACTGAGTAACTTCTTTCACCTTAGGAGTTTTATTGTCTTGCTTGAGGTGAAATGATTAAAAATCAAAATAGAAAAATAAAAATAAAATAAGGAAACAGTGAATAACCTGCCTAACGAGTGTGCGACAAAATGGATTGCAGAACAGCTACGAGGAGGGATAGCAAAAGCGAACAAATGGAATTGCCAGAACGACGTCCTAAGCGGACACGAGGATAAAAAAAAAACAGCGACACGCAGGATTAGCAGAAAAAGACAATTATTATTATTATTATTTCTGCTTGGAACATCAAGGGATCGTGGTGTGGAACATTTCATGTTAATTTTTTTTTTTTTTTTTTTATCTGGAAAGTTGCTAGCGTTACATAGACAAAAGTTCTCCAACGACAATTTCCTGTATGTGTCTCTTAAGCTGGGGCAGGGACTTTCAGTGTGTTGTTTTGTTCCATTTTTATAAAAGTGCACCTATTACCACTGGTATTATTCTTGTTTCAATTTCCACATTTTTTCTATTTCTATTTCCAGGTCTTTGTATTTTGATAGTTTTCAAATATCGATGATAAAAAAAACAGCGACACTGGTTTTTTTATGTCCGGCCTAAGAATATAATCCAGCAACATTTTCCAAAAAATATCGTGACGATTTTTATATTCATTTGGGGCAAGTATAGAAAACGATTGTTTCTTTATTCACAGAACCTGCATTTTGGATTATTTATGATATTTTGAAAATTCCTAGTTATTATTATTATTATTATTATTATTATTATTATTTGATTTCCTTTGATGTTGTATACTCATTTCCTTCCAGGTCCCAAACAAAGATCTAAGGTCAGAAATGACATCATGGCATTTTCCACGTAGCACTTAAGAAAAAAAAAAAAAAAAACACATTTCACATAGATAAAAACAACACACAGTTACATAGACACATTTTACATAGATAAAGCCCTTCATTTAGGTGTGGGCTGTACTTGTGAGTACAAATATTTCCATTTCTATCAGGCATGGGGTACCAGGAATCCCTTCAATGAGACTATTGGAATTTTTCCTATCAAACCCAGGGCCTCAACCAGAACTAAATTTATTGATGATATTGATACGTCACATTTTTTAAAGATTTCTACAGTAACCCTCTATTTTGATAGTTTTTTTTTTTTTTTTTTTTGAAGATCTTCAAAGATAGATTACAAACTGCAGAGACTGCCATGTCAATAAAAAAGCAGATTTTGTCTTTGGTTCGGGTTTGTTTACGTCAGCTTATTTGGTACGGGCAGAGTATTGACCGTGAAGCGTTTTATCTTGCCATCGTTTCTGCATCTGGTCAGTTGCATTTGCCTTTGCTTTCTTTTTAAAGTGTTTTGCAGCCGCAGTTGGTGTATTTTGATTTAATTGCATTTCATCAGTCATTTGAAACTCAATTTTTGAACATGTTTGTTTCATCTATCACTGAATAAAGTTTCTTCTTCTTTCATGTTCTTTGACACATCATCATCTCGTCTTCTGTAGTTTCCTGGTATTATTATTATTATTATTATTATTATTATTATTATTATTATTATCTCTTCTTCCACGCGGCGTTTCATTTTCAACTGAAGATCTTGAATTATTGGTGTTCTTCATGTCGTATGACCTCAAACAGCACCTTTTGCAGAATATTTGTTATCTTAAAAATACACCACAATAATTTTCCCTTGCTTCCAAAAATTTTTCTTTTCTCAATGTTGAAGTTAGATGAATAGGGGGTGAGCGAAGAGGCTATCAAAATTTTGTCCATTAGATAAGTAAACATTTATTCATGCTTAAATAGTTATGTCAATTTACAAGACTAATTTTAAAATTTCATTCAAATTACATCATAAAAAATATAGCCAATAATGAGTAAATATTCCAATAGAATAATTTTTTGTTTCAGAAATCGCGAAATAAAACGTCTCTTCAGGTAATTACCATCATTATTAATATATATATATATATATATATATATATATATATATATATATATATGAAGAAATATAGTTGTAAGGTGTGCTATATTTATGGAATAAAGTGCTCAATATCAGAGATAGAGCGTATGTAAATATAAATATACAAGTGAACATTGAAGTCAACACTCAGAGACGACAGGCTGTTTCATGCTAGACGCAATCGTCACGCCTGACGATTGCGTCTAGCATAAAACAGCTGGCGCCTGTTTCGGCCTTCATCTATTCTCCAACTTGGAGCTTTCAGAGGCTATTTGAGACACATGCCAGGGAAGCATTTTATAGACAATGGGAGCTTTTCTCCACTATCACCCCCGGCTCTGACAATCTTGGGAACATATAATGTACGTATATAAATATTAAATGCATTACGTGTTTTAGAAGCCGTCCTCAAATGTAAAGCCCTGTATCTTTTGGATCTTGTCGGTACGGCCGTGAGGGTGCCATGTAGTCTGTGCAGATCACTGCCTCCATATACCTGCGTCTTGGAGGTCTTTTTTTTCAGTTTTGACCAAATAGGAAGCTACCTTCATCTCACAAGATAATCGGAGGTCTACTACTATAAATATATGTTATTTGTGCATTACTATTTACGTATCTGAAAATAACCAATGCTTATATGCCATTTAGATTTCTAAAAATCAACGGGCAATGTAGGTAGGAAGGGATAAAGAAAAATGTGAAGATACAGCTAAAAGGTGAAAGAAGTGAAAATGTCCGAAACAATGGGCACTCTCATTTGTTAAAAGCTATGAAACATTCAAGACTGGAATGATTTAATAAATATTATCTCAAATATCAACTTCCGTAACCTTGGATTGATTTGGAAAGAGTTCTTTAACGAAAATGTAAAGTAACTGAAAATATTGGAATTAATATAAAAATTAAATGAAATGTTAGTACAGAAAAGGTATTTTATATTTGCGAAGAAATAAAATACATAATGCTAACAATTCTCTGAAAACACTTGGTTGGGTTTAATGGACCACCATGGTTGAACTATTTGCAAAACTCACTTTTGGGAAAAAATGCATATTTTTCAGCTTTTTTTTTTTTTTTTTTTTTTTTAAGACTGTCTCAGATTTAGGTTTTCTCCGTTAAAAAAGAAATGAGATATCTTAAAAATATTAAAAAAAAACTGACACCTTTTTTCTTTAATATTTTATAGGAATGCTATTGATTAAAAAATGCAGAAAGTCAGTATTTTTTAAACTGAAACCGAAAAAAAAAGATACAAAGTAAATTTGAACTGTTAATAAAATAAAAAGCGCACTTTTTTTTTCGTTGTGGTCATTAATGAGATTCTTGTCCTGTCGTTCCACATATTTCAAATTAAATTGATCTACATCAGTAAATCCGTCTTGATATTTAACAATCACAAAAAGTGAAATTCTCGCTCAGCTAGACACCTTGTCTCACGCTGGTGTGACTTTACGAGATCTGTACGTGTGTGAGAAATGACGAGAGTGGACGAACGGAATTCAAATGGAAGAACACAGAAAGAAAAGGTGAATGAACCATAATAAAGATAAAGAAGAAAGAGAACGAAAGGAATAAAAAAAAGAGAAAATAGAAGAGATGAGAAGAAAAGAAATAATGAAAGCGATGAAAAGATGAGAATAAAGAGATGGAAAGAAAAAGAGAATGAAAAAGATTAGAAGAACAGAGAAAAAGAAAGAGATGAGCAGAAAAGAGAAAGAAAGAGTTAAGAAAAAATAAAGAATGAAAGAGATGAGAAGAAAAGAGAGAAAGAAAGACATGAGAAAAAAGAGAAAAAGAAAAAGATGAGAATAAGTAGAGAATGAAAAAAGTGAGACGAAAAAAAGAAAGAGAAAGCGAGAGGTAAAGAGAAAAGCGAATTTCAGTGAGGGTAAATAACGTCAAATGAAGAACGAGTTTCCATAGTAAAAAAGATGGAGAATAGGTTTCGCAGACTATTTCTCCTTTCGATTTTCATTGAGTGCTCTTGAGTTAGTCTTGTTCCTGACTAATCTAAGTATTGATAAATATTTTTGATATATCTCTGTGAAACAATGGTTATCAAGCTAATCTCACACACAGTTCTTATTGTCATGAGTTAGTACCTTACTGGCTGCTCCACAATTTTAGCCTTAAGACAGATTAAGCTTAAAGTAAGTGCGGAACAGAAATAATGCATTGGTCTTTAAGTCCTGTCAATTGGGCTGAAATCACTATTTTTTCATTAAATTAGAGTCATCAATCTAGACCCTATACTGTCAGCAAACCGCCTGCTTAAGAACAGAAAATGAATTCAGTAAATTTGCAAAAATAGAAATGGGTGTAAGACAACGAAGTGTCTTCTCACTGTACCTATTCAAACTATGCAGTGAGGCAGTTATGAGAGATTCAGAAGTCCTACCAGAATTCATCATTGGCAGCCTTAATCTTAACAACATAAGATATGCAGCTGATACAGCGTAGATAGCAGACAGTAAGAAAACTACAAGAAAATCCTACAGAAGTTAGTGAAGGAAAACGAGAAGGAAGGATTAGATATTAGTTACAAGAAGAGAGATAGCATGTTTATTAGGAATAGGAAGAGCCAACATACAAATTACAATTTGGAGATGCCAAAATCAAATAGTAGAACAATTTAATTATCTGGGAAGTGTTTTAACAGAAGACGTCAAGTGCGATAATGAAATCCGAATGCATATTGTGATAACGAAAGGTGCCTCCCAAAGTCTGAGTAAAATATTAAGAAACCAGAAAAATCGTTACATACCAGAAAAGAGTACTGAGACGTCACATAATATCAGTTATCCTATATGGCAGTGAAAGCTGAATGAAGAAGAAACTTGAAGAAACAGAAATGTGGTTCTACATAAGGATGCTGAGAATACCATGAACTGATCCTGTGAGCAACGACGAAGTTGTAAATGAAATGGAGACATAAAGGATACATATACTTAACATTAGGAAGTGACAGTTGAAGTTTCTAGTCCACATAATGAAGAAAAAGGGCTTAGAAAATCAGATATTCACAGAATAGATTAAAGGCAGGTTGACAGAGGAAAACAACACATAACCTACCAAGCGAGCTTGAGTAAATGGATGTCAGAGCAAGGCTTAGGAGATGAAATAAAAAGGACAAAATCAAGTAAGGGCTAAAAAGTACAGGAAATTGTGGAGAGATATGATCGCCTACGTCCTGTGTTCGCGAATAGGTAACTTATTTGTTTCTGTAATTATTTAATTCGTCCGTGGGTAGATAAATATTGGTCATTTATAACTGATTCTATAAGTATTTACTCGGTTCGGGGAGAGGCTACAATTCATCGTTTATGTAAAATAGAACATATAACTCTAGTCTATAAATATTTGCTGGCTTCGTAGGTAATTTTAGTCGATTTTATTTGAGTCTGGGCATTTTCTTGGGTTGGGCATTGGTATATATTGGTCATTTCTGTTTGATTCTAAATGCATTTTCTGGGTTCGTAGGTTGGTAAACAATTGTTGTTTATATGTGAAATGAAATGAACATCGACGTAGTGTAATGGTTAGCAAGCTTATCTCTCTAGATCAATGACGACTGATTAGAGAATTCGTTGCGCATTGGGTGTGGTTTAATTTTCGCCTCGTTCAACATCTAAGTTACGCTTAGTAAATCGATATATTTGAAACTATCTTAAAAATTTGGAGTTATAAACTAGCACCCCTGACCCTAAACTAAAGGGACATCTCGTTCAGCTTAGAAAACAATGATAATTTTGAAGAAATAACCATGAATTCCTCGATGCACTCCATGGAACTTCAAAACCTCACTTTGACTTGAGCTATACGTCCAATTTCAGCCCAAAGTCCGATTGGGACTGAAACTTCAATTTGGGCCGAAATTCTAATGCACACCGAAAACTGAGTTCTTCAGAAACTCCGTAGAACTTTGAGTTAATTTCTTCAAATGACAAACTCTGCAGAACTTCAAAACCTCAGTCACGACACCTCTCATATTAACTCTGAATCATTGGCATTTTGAAGAAATAAAATTTATTTCATCAATTCACAAAGTTTTGGATATATTTTCAACTGAATTTAAAACAATTTTTTAAAAATCTCTAAAGTTTTGTGTTACTTTAATTTCAATATAAAGTAAAAACTAAAATCATTAATTTTCTTCAGTCATTTTAAAATTTTTAAGTATTCTTCCTTATCAGGACACAAATCCCAACACAGGATGTTTAAGCAGCAGATGAAGGATAGATTTTCAATCCCGTGATAATCCTGATACCAAAAAATTATAATAGGTCTATGTAAGTGCAGCCCGAGTTAGAGGGTTTGCAGAAACATGGACTGACAGACAGAATTTGTCGTTTATTTATTTATATGAAAAGGAAAGAGTGAAAAAGAGGGAAGTGAAATCAATAAAGAAAAGACAAAGGAGAGAGGCTGAAATAAAAGAAAGCCAGTAGTAAAGGAAATTCAAAATGGTGCACACACATATCTGTCAAAATAAAAAGAAAGACAGAAGAAATACAAGGGAGATGAAAATTAAAATTTTAAATAAAAACAAAGGAAAAGGAAGACAAATTAAGACAGAAATATTTTTAAAAAAAGCTTGCATGGGAGAGAGAATAATTATGAAAATCGAAAATAAATAAAAAATAAATCAATAAAATATACGATGAATTCCTGATTTTCAGAAAATTCTGTGTCTATTTTTGCAGTCAGTTATACATTCGTTATTCATTTACGGACATTTCAACAAATACAAAAGCATTTTTTTGAGAATGGAGTTCCTTCCAAACCACAAGGAAAGAAAGAAAACGTCCTCAAAATATCGAATTTTAGATTTACGTCTGTCATTTGACATAAATCCAATTCAGAACGATTGTACGGTGAAATAAATAGTATACACAGAAAATAATTTCCACAAATGAAATTTATCTCCGGTTTTTATTCAATACAAGCTGGTTGAATGTTACAGAAAAGAAGATAACAGGTTTGATTTATTCCACATTTCAGAGAGTAAAAAGCATCACAAAGTGCAAGTAAATGAACACAATTTAATTACTATTATAAAATATTCTGTATTTTAAATTTGTCATATATATATATATATATATATATATATATATATATATATATATATATATATACAAATACGTTTGTAGATGCGGAGCCGACAACATAGGGAAAACAACTCAACGCTTAGACATGAGAATAAAACACGTTCCTACTAAAATTAGAAATCACACCCTGCCTTTGAATCGACTCGTCCCGAACACCTATAGTTCCGCCATATGCGAACACCTATTAAAGAACAGAGATTGTGCTGCCAAATTTAATGTTGACTGGTTCACCGTGTTGTCCCGGTCACACTCTGTATTTCATCTGAAGGTTCTGGAGGCACTTTACATCGGGTCCCGCAAGCCTTCTTTGTGCAAACAACGTGAGTGTTTGTTGGGACTCTCTGTCATTTGTCTCTAGTTCCTTTTGCATATTTTTTTGTTTACAATTCCTTTTTTTACAATTCCTTTTATTGTACATTTTTCTGTGTTAATTTTAAATCTCCCGTTGAAGCCTGAAGAGCTGGATCGAAACCGGTTGCTTCACCCGTTTTTTGTTTTTTTTTAATATGTCTCGTAATATTAAATTTTATACTTTTATTTCGATCATATATATATATATATATATATATATATATATATATATATATATATATATATATATATATTAGTAGCATGGCCCGGCGTTGCCCGTGCTTGGTTCAAAAATCGTACGACTCATACAGCAATCGCTATCATTTGACTTAAAATTTTTTTGCCCTTCCTTGCCTTTAAAGGAGTGTCCTTTGCCGTGCTGATGTTGCTACATGCCTTACTTCTTGCCTATCTCACACTGCGAATTCTTTCTAAGCTCTATACTAAATATTAAATCTGTTACGAAAAAATAACTAAACAAAATTAACAAAAAACGATCAGCTTTAAAAAGGCCTCGTAACTGGAAAAACCGAATAAAAAAAGAATGTTAACAACAAATATTTTTTCACACCCAACCCCGTTCTTCGGAATCAGAATCAACGTTGAGTTAAAGCAAGCGAATGAGCCAATTGGAGTAAAGTGCTATGCAGATTTAAATTTTTCCCACTTTTGCCGAATGCAGCTATCGATTTTTTTTTTTTGCATGCTAGCATGCTAGTTAACATTCGTGTCAGTCACCTGTTGGCTCTCACGCTGGCCAATAGAATCTTCCTGCCTATTCGTGGCAGCCAGCTATAGGCTCTGACACTGGCCAGTAGAAGATGGCTGCAAACTACATGAAAACTGCCGTAGAAGCATGAAAAAATTGATTATTTCCACTATCGATGGGAGTTTGGAAATGCAAAGTCAGTGTTGGCCTTCCCGCTAACTTGGAGCATGTGCATGTAAATTTTGGTGCAAATCCGTCGAAAATTGCGGCCGTGCATTCGTTACACACACACACACACATATCCTGCCTTTTTATATATATATATATATATATATATATATATATATATATATATATATGCGTGTGTGTGTGTTTTGTGTGTGTGAGTTGTTCAGTGTCATTAATAATGGGCATATATATATATGTATATATATATATATATATATATAAAGAAATATTTTATGTAAGTTGATAATAAAGATATATAAACTTGTTTGTTATCATTATTAATGAGAATGTATATACTTCTTTCAATGCTAAAGAAGAGTATTATATTTTCGATAAATTAATGTTATTATATCCAAAAACTGTTTTATTTCATCTAAAAAAATAAGGCAATGCTTTTGAACAATTAAGATAGATAATTCTACTTGTGACAAGAGAAAGAAAGTAATTTAATAAGAAAAAGTAAGAATAAGTATTGGAAAGAAATTTAGTGGAAAGAAAGTAACGTTTACCGAAACTAAAAAAAATTACACCGTCAATAACAAAGTTTGACTTTGGTTAACTTTTT